AAAAAAAAATAACGTAACATCGTGTGAAACGTGCTTCGCGCTCTACTAGCTTTAAAGCTGCCGCCTATGCTAATGAGCAATGTTGCGGACGAAGCCTTACAACTGCAAGATGGCGTTAATGTTACCAGCTCCCTGATGTTACACCATAATAAGGCATCCAACACCAACGTGCATGTGTTTTGTAACCCCTTTCACCCCCTCCGGGGGATGTTATATATGTTAATTAATCAATGTTAAATACTTGCTGATTACCGAAACGTGCGGCATGTCGTCGGTAAATACTTGTTTACCGTAGTTCGCGAGCAGTCGGCGAAATAACCATTTAAAACTAAACATTTCTATAAGGCATGCTGTATACCCTTACATCGATCGACCATTGAGATTCGCGCTTTTCGACCAACCAACCAATGGGAATCGTGCTCTTCGCAGGGTGACACTGCGATCCTGTCGCAGAGTGCAATAATCGACATTCGGCGAGTCGCACAATCGTGTCGCAGAGTTAATTTTTTGACCCCCATACAAACCTCAATATTTTGCTGATTTATTTGTACTCTATTATTGTCTTCTCAATGATATTTTCCTCTTTGTAATCACCTATCCTCGAGGCGGAGCTACGTCACAGGACGTTCCACGTTGCTACGACGCGCACCACTGTACCACATATTTCTATGGGCTTTGTGCGCGCTGCTGTGGAATGCCGGTGGAGCTTGTGAAAACTCGAGAAAACAACACAAACTCAACTTTGAAGTAATCCTGAACAACCAAATTCATATATGTTACACACGTAGGGCTAATCTTGTTACACTGTTCAGGGGACTCTCAACAACCATCGCAAAGTACCGTTTTCTGCGAGTTTTTGGTCTTTGTTTTCACCGCGAGGGTTGCCAGGCGGTAGAAAATGCCCGGATGTCCGCCCCCGAAAATATAAACTATTTTGAGGAGAAAACATTAATATCACATTAGCGCTAGAAATCATGGCATAAGTTTATTTTCGACTTTCGTGTGTACAATTGGAGTCTTTGCAGTTAGTGTGTCTGTTGTGTGTGTGTGTGCGTGCTGTGACCACTTCAATTTAACTTAACATCGACTTGTGATGACAGGACCTACATTGTGGCGACCCTCACTGTTTTTCGTAATTTATATTACCGGTAATATTTAATCAAATTTAAGTCATTTTTGCATAGCTTAGGTTTTGTATGGTTCAATATACCAACCACCTTTACTAAACCTCAGTATCGCAAACATTTATATGTTAAGTCCGGGATATTCAAACTTTATTTAATTAAACTTGAATTAAAACGCAATGCTATCTTGAATTCCATTGAATTAAGTTTGATTAATGATTATTTTTTCAATGACAATATCCCAAAACTAACAAATAATATGAAAGAAATACAATTAATGAAGCATTCTTTGTGCTTAATATTATGACAAAAAATAAAACTCCATGGAATGATGGAATTCCATCTGAATTGTATACTACCTTCTGGCCTAAGACGGGGCAATTAGTAGTTGAATCACTTAATTATGCATTTGAACAAGGTACACTTTTTAACTCGCAATGGCAAGGAGTAATTTCCTTGATTAAAAAAAGGGTAGAGATTCAAGGTACATTAAAAGCTGGCGTCCAATATCTCTCATTAACATTGATGCTAAGATAGGATCGAATGGTAAGCATACCTGATGATATCCTTCAAAAGGTTGAGCAGTTGGTGTTTGGAATGCAAAAGATAAAATTGCAAGGAAAGTGATGGTTAGGGAGATCTCCAAGGGAGAAAAGCACCTGATATTAAAATAACTCATAAATTTGCTTGTATTAATCTTATCAAAAGATATCTCAATGAAGAAATTTCACATCCATGGAAATTGATTCTTGACCATTGCTTGGAACTATATGGTGGGAAATATCTTTTCAAATGTAATTTAAATATTAAGACTCTTAAACCAGTACTCTCAGAATTTTATATTGAAGCATTAGAAGCATAGTCATTGTCCAATGAATCTGATGAGAATTATGATATAGATGTATCTAGTCAAATAATTTGGAACAACAGGCATCTTACTGTAGGAGGGAGATCAGTCTTTTATAGAAATCTCAGGCAGAAAGAAACTGAATATGTTTCTAATTTACAAAATGGGAACAAATTAATGACCTGGCAAGACTTGCATTTAAAAAAACCTTAATTGTAATGAAATATTTATGCTTTATGGATTAATAAGGTCTTTTCCTAGAGATTGGGAAGAAATTGATAACAGTAGATCAGTATTTTTTTGATTGTGGTTTCATAGAACTTGACAAAATCTCAAAAAATGTAATAAAAAGAATATTCATGGATAGAAATAAGGATAAGCTAATCAATGAAAGATACTATGAAAGAGAGTTTAATTATACTAGTTTTTGGAGTCTTACATATAGTCTACCATTCAAGGTAGCTATTGATACAAAAACATGTGAACTACAGTTCAAGTTATTGCATAACATATTTTGTTGATCTGTCTAGAAGGGGTATTAATCAATCACCTCTTTGTACATTTTGTGGGGATGAAAATGAAACCCTGGACCACCTTTTCTATTCATGTAAATTCACTGCTAAATTCTGGGATGATTTTTTTAAACATTTTAAAAAAGCAATGATGTTGGTACAGAAACCCACTTTTGATGTGATTATATTTGGAAATAGTTCATATTCTGTAATTTACAACCACCTTATGTTAATAGCCAAGAGACACATTTATGCTGCAAAGATGAGAAAGTCCAAACCCCATTTTCCCTTATTCAAACTCCTAGTGAAGTCTAATTGTAATTTAGAATATGAAATTGCTACAGAAAGAGATAAACTTGATACACATTGTCAGAAATGGATAGACATAATTGAAGTAATTAATGAATAGTTGTACTTGAATAAGTAATGTACATTTCCTTCATGCTGTTGCCAATAAAAAAACAAAAAAGAATTTTACCCCCCCCCCAAATTGAGTTTAATTTAGTCATCAGATTATAAAGGGAAATCACTTTATAATGAGTTGTACCCACATAAAGTACATATTAATTCAATTGTTTGCAGATGTTCCATGTATTATTTTAACATGAGTATTTTATAATTAAATAACGGGGACTGTGACATTCATGTCTTGTTATTACATAATTTGCATATTAATTAGACAATTTTTTCGCATTTTCACTTGTTTCTCATGTACTATTCAACAGATTTTAATGGAACTTGGTACATAGACCTGGTTAGTTTTTGGCTGAAATCTGTGCATATTAATCACCTAATTAGCATATTAAATATTTATAATAGCTACTTGGAACCATCTGCATTTATATTTTTAAATGGATTTTTTGCTCTAATACATGTAAAAGCACAGTGCTAACTGTAAATATTTAGTAAATACAGTATTCCTTATTTGTACTTTATGCCTCCAAAACCTTCAGCGCACAGGAGCTCTTTCTAAGCTTTCTTTGATTCCTTATGTCATATGAAATATCATATCATATCACATGTTTGTTTTCACTAGTATCTCCATATTTGGTAATAATTTGGACTATTTTGATTTCAGATTGACGTCAAATACAATATTCCGGATCCAACTGCAAATCCTGCCTTTAAATTAGATATTCAAATGCAAGAAAAGAGAAAGAAGAAGCAACATGGCAAGACACGGATGAATAGATCAGCTTTGAAAGAATCATACATTGAAACAAATGATCTCATTGGTAATGATTATAAAGTAACCATAGAAATATGTACCAGGTTTGTTTTGTTTTGTTTTCTATGATTATAGCACTCTGACCATTATTTGTTTAGCCTATTTAACAAATAAAATTTATTGGTTACAATTTTCACCTTATTTGTTCACTCGAAGCACATCTCCAATTAAAGTCCATGTAAGCTGAACAAGTTGTTTAGTTTGCACCACGATCATCTGTGAATTTTTACTGTTTTGTAAACAGTTTTTTACAAAACTGAAAACATATAATCTTCATTCCTACATATTTAAAACAAATTACAACTTAAAAAGTTAATACCCTAATTAGTTTGGCTTTGTTGGTAATTCAAATAGTGGCATGTCTCTGGCATTTATGTACATGAATTGGTTCCTTAAATACAGTAATTATAACAATAAAATCATAATAATTTTCTCATCAGTGTTTTTATACATTAAAAGCCAGACCCCCTTAAGAAATATTTACCCTGTAGTTTATTTATGTTTCTTATTTATTTCGATATTTTATTTTCAGATGGCTCCATGCAGGTTCATCTAACATGGCAGTCATTGAAGCATCTTTGTTGACAGGGTTTAGACCAGACACTGAAACACTAGAAAAGGTAAGTTAGACTTCCCCACTATCATGGGAATGAGTTTTATCCTTGAGAATGAAAAAAACTTTTACTTGATTGTGTCATCAAATTGGCTTGTAAATAGTTGCAATGCTACACCAGATATTGACACGTCATTCAGGAATGTGTAAAATTCCCATTCATGATTATTTTGTTTTTTGAAAAAATAAGAGAAGCGATGTCTTTTTATAAATTCTGTGACACCCCTAACTTGCAAGCAAGTTCATCAATACATTACAATACAGATAGTACACAATTTCAAGGCCTGATACTCCTTGAAATGTCTTTATATAATTGTAATGAATATATCAGAATATTTAAAGAGTTTGAATGTGGGGGCATCACATGATCTAGAGGTCAAAGTTCGTTATAAGGACCACCTCACTCTTAGCCCAAATCTTATCACTGCCCGTTCAGTGCCCCCCCCCATTGTAATTGAATATTACCATCATCAGGGCATGCATAGTTAGGAGGACCATATACAATTACATTGGGGGGTCGAATGTTAGGGTTTGGGTTCAGGTTAGGGGTGGCGGTGCCATAAAAAACTTTTTTCGATCTAGGCAATGACACATGTTGCTTCCATGATTTTCAAAACATCCATCAGGAAATTATTACTTTGTGTTGTCAATTATGTTTTTAACTTTCACAGCTGTTATTAAATAGACATACTGGTGTTAAAAGGTATGACGTGGACGGTAGAATGGTTATATTTTATTTTGATGAAATATCAAGTCAATGTCTAACATGTGTCAGCTTTGAAGCATTCCGTGATTATGTTGTTGGAAAAACTAAGCCAGTACCAGTGAAAGTCTATGATTACTATGAGCCTAGTAAGTCACTCTTTAATTTTAATTTTTTTTTATGTGTTGCATAGCAGGGGAAGCTTAGACTTTATTTCAGTGTCAAGTTTATTCTCTACAATCAAACATTTTCTATTTTACTTCACTGTTCTTATACATAGCATCCTGTAGAGACATAAATGGTAATTGTATATACCTGGTATAAAAAAAACACAACATACTGTAAAACTTGTTTTTTTAGCTAAAGTGTGATTTTTCTAAATCAAGATGTGGCTAATTTAAAATTAAGCATATTCTTACAATGGGTTTGTGGCATTTTAGCTAAATTACAATTCTGTTAGTTCAAGCATTGAGACAAATTCGCTAATATGGCATGTAGCTATTTCAAAACCGTTTAAGCTATCTCTTTTTAGTCCCCGTTCGGATGCAGTTCGAAAACGGGGACTTATGTTTTGATCTCCGTGCGTCTGTGTGTCCGTGCGTGCGTGCGTCCGGACCTGTATCTTAGAAATGCCTGGATCAATCACAATCAAACTTCACACATACATTATACATGATATTATACATGTGCACGTTAATTTGTTTCCTGATCTAATTCAAGATGGCCGAATGGCGGCCATTTTTGTGCTAAAAAATCATCAAAATCAAGCATTTTTCGGCTGTTTACAGATGGATTTTGTTCAAAATTGGTATATACGTTAGACATTATAGGACCTTGATGCACATCATTTTGTTTTTTAGATAAGATTCAAAATGGCCAACTGGCGGCCATTTTGTTTTAATGAATGTGGTTCTAGTGCCATATCTCTGACTTGCTTTGACTGATTATGTTCAAATTTTAAATATTCATTATAGATCATGTCATAGATATACAGATATATTGGTTTGACGATTCTATTAAAAATGGCTGAATGGTGGCCATTTTTGTGCTAACAAATAATCAAAATCAAGCATTTCCCGGCTGTTTACAGATGGATTTTGTTCAAACCTTGCATATACGTTGGAGATTATGGGACCTTGATGCACATCATTTTGTTTTACGATCTGATTCAAGATGGCCGAATGGTGGCCATTTTTGTGCTAAAAAATCATAAAAATGAAGCATTTCTCGGCTATTTAAAGATAGATTTTGTTCAAACTTGGTATATACATTAGACATTATGGGACCATGATGCAAATAATTTTGTTTTTCAGATTAGATTCAAAATGGCCGACTGGCAGCCATTTTGTTTAATGAATGTGGTTCTCGTGCCATATGTCTGACTTGCTTTCACTGATTAAGTTCAAATTTTAAATAATCATCATACATCATGTCAGATATATTGGTTTGACGATTCTATTCAAAATGGCCGAATGGTGGCCATTTTTGTGCTAAAAAAATCATCAAATATCAAGCGTTTCTGGCATTTATGGATGGATTTCGTTCAAACTTGGTACATATATTAGACATTACAGGTTTCTGATGCACATCATTTATTTTTCAGATCGGATTCAAAATGGCTGTCTGACGGCCATTTTGTTTTAATGATTGGGCTTCTAGAGCCATATCTCTTAAATGCTTTGACTGATTATATTCAAATTTTATATATTCGTTATACATCATGTTATATATATATATATATACACATGTATTCAAAATGGCTGATTTTGAATGCTGTTCCAGAGCAATATCTCTGAATATCGACAAGTACTTGTTTGACGATCAGATACAAAATCATATTTCTGAAATGGTTATATTCCAGCTATATTACTATAAACAAAACTATATATCTTATATTTGATAACTGACAGGGACTGTGCCATGCATGGCTTGTTTAAAACACTTTCACCTAGTATTCGCAATGCAAATAAAGTAATCATACTATTTAAACTAAACAGTTCGATTTTAGAGCGCAACAGAGTATCGATCTTACTTATAAAAAAAAAAGGGTTTCTGAGGTTTCACATTTTCCATCCAGAAGCTTCAGCAATGTCATCATTCTACTAGAGGGCATCCTTTGGTGACCTTTGATCATAATAGTTTACATTTTCTCGAAAAGCACATAAAAATGCTATTTATATCCTTTGATACTGGCTGTTTAATAAATTCCTTCCCTTAACAAATGTTCTGATTTGTGTGTTAACAAGGCTTTGAAATACAGAAATGATATTTCACCACTGCTTACATTGTACTTATGGTGTCATTAGGGCTGTGTTTATAGGCTGTAATATGAATTCTTACTTTGATAGGTTTTGAGGCAACACAATTCTACAATGCATCTAAGAATAGTCCTCTCTCCAAACAACTATGTGAGGGCAATATGTGTAATGAAATTGGAGAACCAGAGCCGAGAGATTTTGCAAGTAAGTGGTCAAAATAAATATTGGATGCAAGGGCTTAGAGATTTTGATTAAGAAAAGCACATGTTTGTGCCTGTCAAGTAGTGTTGACATCCATTGGTCACATCCACTAATCTATGTACTATATAAGTTTTTGTTGAACAGATAAATGCAACACAACACAGGTTCATGAAATTTTTTTTTTAAAAGAAAAACTCAGTACACACTGGATATAACTGTTGCCCATATTTGACACAAAAGTGGCCTAAAAACCAACATTTTATGTGTGTAGAGCATTACCTCCAAGTTGCAAAGACCAGATCGAAATTGGCTGACTGGCAGCCATTTTGCACACTTTGAATTTGCTTATAACTAATAATCACTAAGGTATTCAGGGGCAATTATTTCATAAAGATGTAAGTTGATTTGCTAATTGATCTTATCAAATATGGCTAACTTCAGCCATTACCGTATTACCCCGGGCACGCACCCAGGGGCCTGAACATACAAAATCGGGAAAAATTGGGGGTGGGCGCTTACCCGAAGACCACCCCAAAAAAGATTTTAAAAAGTTGTTTTTGTGATCGTATGATAAGGTCAAATAAAGGAATGCTTTCGTACACTTTGTACACAAACTTATTTCTTGATTTATGCAAGGTTTCAATAAACGTGGACACAGGGTCAAATTTCAAGAATAAAACTTGTTTTATGTCAGCGAATGAAGTTGTATTACTTACTGAAATTGGCTACAAAGTATGGTAACTATTGTAATCAATGCACGGTTACTTTTTTAGTACTGGCATGGTACCGGTAACCGTGATCAGTGCAAGTCGAAACGGCCGGGAAAAACTACCGCTTGTAATCCAAGATGGCGATGACCTCATTAGCATAATTTTGTTCACGCACGTATTGATACATCGCATCGTAATTACTGAAGAATAGCAGACAGGGAGTTATGAAACAAATAAACCTTTTATTACTGATGTGAAATGTTTACAAACTATTGTGAATACATAAACATATCCAAATGGCGATACATAAAAAACAGACTGAAAATAAACTCTGGTCGACCTCATTAACATGATTTATTCACGCACCCACACTCGTGACAAAATTACAAAAATAACGATGATGCAACAAGTTCCCATCGTCGGCATGCCTCATTATGGTTAACGTAATGGACTTGAGGTCGGCAAAATGTTTTTTCTTCAACAACTGAAAAATAATCCACATGCTGTGATGAAGGATGGAAAGAAAGTAGCAAGTTTACGACGTGATGTCTCAAAAGTGCTAGCTCCCGTTATGGATTCACAGTCAGCGAAATGCTACGTTTTGAACAAAGCTAAGTGCTTCAAACCCCCGGTTCAAACCACTCACCAAGGTATGGATCGTTGCAATATTGGATTCATCGTGAATGAAGAGAAAGCAGAACGTGTGCGCCACATGATGCGTGGTTCATCTTACGTCGTAAAGTTCCAATGAGTTTTGACGTAAAAACACAAACAAAACGGTCCTTTTCAGGGCCACCACACACTCCAAAAAGAGAACTACCGTAACAAACACACTATTTAAATAAATTGAACGCGTTCGTTTTTGACAAATAAAACTTTATTGTTGACCCCGTTCTTGGCTAAAAATCACCCTGGGCGTTTAACCGAGGATGTCCCCAACATGTAACTTTTGTGAAAACAGGGGGTGGGCGCTTGCCCGGGGTAATACGGTATATCTGGAAAAAAAAAATTTTTTTTTTGCTCAAGTCAGCTTATCACAAATTCACACAGTCCAGTTTGAGTCAAACATGATACAAAAAACAAACAAATGTGTTTTGACACATAAATAATAGTTGATTTAATGCTACTGTGATCATACCTGAGTTTGCCAACTTGCAGGTAAGTTTGTTTGATGAAAATCATCTATTTTTATCCGTTTCAACATTGCTGCCCAAATTTTTCTGAACTTTTAATATTATATTCTTTAATATTTCTTGAAATGAACCATAATTTTGAATCCAATAGACAAATTTTGAATAAATTTTAATGCAAAAAATTTGGCTATTTTTGTCCCAAACTTCTAAAGAAAAGTGCAGACAGGACTATTTTGTGAATTTGTGATAAAAAGAGGGAACTTGTGGAAAAACTACTATGTAAAACTGGAGCATGCACTTGTACAAAAGGAGCATATACATGCTGACTGTTCATTTGTCATAGTAGAACAAGAGTTGGACTGTGACATTCTTATGTTCCATCAAACTATATTATGAAAAAGATGTGTGAAAAGATGGATAAATATAAGATAATTTTTTTTATAGATAGAAAATATTGTTTGACTTGGCTGATTAGGATTTTAATTTCATGTATGATGTTGTTTTCCTAGCCTATGTAGATGAACAGCTACATGTAGATAGAAGCTGTAACTCTATCTTTGGATGTGACCAGCAAATGAATGACATAGTACCTCGTTGTGCTTGTATCAGTGATTGCAATGATGATGGACCACCTGTTTGTGCCAATGATGGAATCATTTATGGTAATTTATGTAAAATGGAATTGATGGCGTGTAAAGAAAATATTGATTTACACGTAATGCCATACATCGTATGTGCAGGTAAGATTCAGTGGGTTGTTTCTACTACTAAAATTTTACACTTCTTTCCCCCCAGAAATGGTACACATTTTTTGTGATCAGATTCAATGTAGCAAACTTCTACAATGTGGACTGAGCAAGTTTTATATACATGAAGCTTAGTTTTTTTCATTGATACAATACAAACATGACAAGTTTTATTTATGATATCTTAGGTTATGTATCTTACATTTAAAGACAGGGATTGTAACACATTTTTATGTCTTGTTTTTATTCAAGTAGAAAATGAATTTGGTTTTGATAGAACAACTGAACAAGTGACACAAGTGAGTTCTGGATTTGGTCCTGATGATGATCGATTCTTCACTTACCCAATAACAGATGATGGAATTGAACCTCCAAAAGATAATTTGGGAGAGAATATTACCATGCCAGAAGAAGAATCTGAAACACCATTATTCAATAATACTGATAATATAACAAAACCAGGTAACCTATCCTGCTACTATGACTACATTTTACATCTGATTCATTTGATATTTTCAGCCCTCTGCAATGTTCTATGTATACTTTTACATTTGTTTGTGATGAATACTTCCAAATTATTAAAATAAAGTTGTGCCTTATTTGTGACATTGGCCAAATTTACCATGAAATGAGTCATGATTAGTCTGTGTGTTAAATGGTTAATAATATTTAGCTTGTCAAGCAATTTCAAGATATAAAATGGTAGTGAAAAAAGCTCCAAATCATTATGTTTAATATCTACAAGTTCAGATGAATCATGTCATGTCTAAGAGTATATCCTGCCCAGATTACCAAACATAATATTAGGTTTGGCAAACTGGTGCAGCATACCACATATATACAATAAGGATGTCTACAAGGTAGTTATCTACCAAGTCTGTAACCAATTCTATCTTTGTCAGTTGATCTGAGTAACACAACAATAAATCAAATTTTGATTATAATATTGACAGGTATTACAGATTATCCTGCAACTAATGTCACCGTAGAACCTACCCAAACTAGTGACAGAAAATTTGCAACACTGTCTGTAGAGAAAGATAAGCAAGGAAATATTGTGAATGACAGTGAAGAGATTGATTATAATAACATAAATGAAAACATTACAGATGTTAATGATGTGGATACGGGCAATTTACAGGTGAGATTAGTGTTTAAACTAATATTGATGAACATCTGGTCATCTATGTTACTGTCTATTGTATGTTGTCAGTGGTGAATGGCTAGGTTACATCAGTTATATCTGAAGTCAGCAGGCACATTATTTAGACCACAGTACAGTGAATTATTGTGTTAATAACACTGCTCCAGCCCAATATTATAGGACCCATGTCTGTGTATAACACAGTGCCATTGGATAACATTCCATTTCATTAATGAGCAAAAACTACTGTTTTTTCACTTTTAATCTTTTTGTATTTCTCTCTACAGAATATCACTGAACCACTTGAAGAAATGAATGAAACTAGCATTGGGATTAACAATGAGACAACAACATCACCACCAGGAAAATACAGAAACATATCTAAGACATTATTACAAACCATAACAAATCTGATAACAGAAAGTACGACACATATGTCTCAGGTAACTGGGCACCCTCTAGTTAAAGAAGATATATCAAAAGACAATAACAATTTAACCCAAAATATGCCAGGAAATAGTGATAAAAGCAAAATGAATGAAACACAGAATGGAATTGAAAGTGATGAGAATTACGAAGACATGAAAACAATCAGTGTAGTATCAAATGAAACTAAACCTGCTAGTGAGAAAGAAGAGAATTCAGATGGACTGGTGAATGAGACAATATACACAGAAGTTAAGACTGCTGTTCACATCACTGAATCTTCAAACCAGAGTCAAGATACATCTGTGTCTGAGATCAGAGTGCCTCTTGACAGGGAAGGAACTTCACATGTGAATGAACACTTTGCAAACACTACTCAGAATTCTGATATCTCATCAAATGAAGATGATATGAATCCTATTGAACGTACAGAAGATTCCCTCAATGTATTTATGAACTTCTCTATAGAGTCAGAGAATAATACAGAGATACACAAACCTGACTTTGTTTTGACAGAAGGGCAAACTAGTACTAACCATGTTCCTGCAGCTATAGAGCTTTTGAAACCTGCTGAGGCTAATATAACATTTGAAGAAGATTTTCCTGATTATGATGATGCAAAGACAAAACCTATTTTACCTGAGATTGATCCCACAGCTTTGGAACCTGAATCTAAGACAGTGTTGCAAGAACCTATTCTTTCTTCCAAAGTACCTGTACCTGCAGAAAATGTGTATAAACAAGCAATATATGATTACATTTATCCACTGGATGCAGCAAGAAAAACTCCTGATTTAATTGATGCATTGCGGGAACCCACACATATGAAATCTAAACACAAGCTAGTGTTACAAGAACCCATTATTGCTGCCGAAGTACCTGAAACTGTCATAAAATCACTTGGAGAAGAAAGCGTTCACCATGATGATGTGAGGGAGCATGATTTTGTTGAGCTTGATTCAAACTCCAAGGGACATCAACACCAAATAGTGGTCGAAGAGCCAACACATACTACTATAGACCCTGCACATACAGAGTCAGTCAAAGAAAAAGAATTTAAACATAGGATAGTGTTTCAAGAGCCTGATATTGCTGCCAAAGTATCCGAGACTGTAATAACATCGCTTGATGAAGAAATTGGTTACTCTGATTCAGTTGATGCTGTAAGGGAACGTGATTTAATTGAGTTTGACCCCAACTTCATGGAACCTCAACATGAAGTAGTGGTCCAACAAGAACCTGAACATGTTACTATGAACCCTGTACATACAGAGAAGTCAGCCCGGGAGTTTGATCATCCTGTTGCTATTGATCGTGTGAGAAAACCTGTCCTAGCTGAGTTCAATCCTGAACCCTTACCAGTTGAATTAGATGATGCTCAATTTCAAATGCCAGAATTTACCGAGTATAAACATGCACCTTTTCAACTTTCATACAGAGGAGATAACTCTTATGTTCCCCACAAAGTTGAAAAACAGCTCCTCACTGATTCTGATGAGCTTCCAGATCTAGTAGATGAAGTTGTTTGGGATGATGGCTATAAACCACTCAAAGAAAGCAATCCTGTGCCTTACAGTTTAATTGAAGATAGGTTTCCAGTTGAGGAAACTGCCTGGGAAAATGACTATGATTCAGTTTATGGTAGTTACGAGAGCTTGAAGGCATTTGAAGAGTTTGATGAGTTTGACAATTTTCCACTAGGGCTATAAGAACTATAGTGCACATGGTTAGTATGATTGAAAACAGTTTTGAAACGAGCTTTGAGACAAGACTTACAAGATTTCTGAAAGCGTCAGTTTGAAGAATGTGTTAAATATGATCTTATACACATATATATATATACACATTATATACAGTTAATTACAGACTCAGTCTGTTATTTAGCAAGATTTGGACATTTTTGCATGAAGTTTAAAGTGTTCCAATGGACTAACCAATTTTATCTCAATTCCTTGGTTGTGCCATCCTATATGATGTCTTGTTGAATCAAAAAAAACAACAACCTCAACTTCCAGGTGCTAGCTTATCCCATCAAAATGTACACTCTTGTACGTTTAACAAATTGGGTGGCTCTACATAAAGGTGGAAAAAGTATTTTTAAGGTAAATTTGTAATATTTATGAGAGGATTGTGAAAGAGAAAATTGATTGAAATTTGACTGAGAAATTCTCAGTTGATGAATAATGATTATATGCAAAATATTTCAGTCAGGTATGTTTATATGAATACTTATTTTTTATTATATCCTGTAACTATCATTTAAGTTTTATAATATTCTGTGAAATTATTATACTTCCTAGAAATTGTATTTTTTATGTTTGTGATAATACAAAATATGGGCTTTCTCTTCTGATGTACCTTCAATAAGAAAAGGTTTTCCATAACTCCACATGGCTTACTATTAACCTGTTAATGCCAAAGTTGACTTCTGTCATCTGTCATAAAATACTTTGCCATGCTTACTCAAAAAAAGCAAACAATGGTAAATTATTTCTGTTTGGTTCAAATTTTAACAAAGAAATTATCAAAACATCTGTATCCTCATAAATTATTTGTTGATGCACAGTGTTCAATTATTATTTGCTAGAACAGTGTGGCAGATAATTAAACTGCTGCATCATGTTATATTATAATGCACTAAATTCACTGCTTGCCAATAATTGGTGACTAACCCTTCATAATGATTATTTAGTATATTGTTCTATTTTATTATTAGGTAATAAGAATTTCATTACTTAAGTATTTTTCAACTGTTTTAGAACTGGTGTGACATAGTTGGCTTGTAAATATGCATGTGATGTTTCATATTTATGATATTTTAATATTAAATACATTATAAATTCTACATATTGAAGGCACATGCTGCCCTGATAGCTTTAATGGAATTATGCCTTGATAGCCATAATGGATTTTTCCGTCATGAAAAATTAGAAAATGTCAAATATCAGTTGAAGTGAAAGTCATCACATCACATTGCTTAATGTGTGAAATACATTGTAGCTTTACACAAACATGTGCACTGTGTGATAGACTGGTCAATTAAGACAAGAGTCACAACAACTTAGTATTTATATGAATGTTTTCAAATCTTTAACTTTTTTATTTGAAAAAAGTTTAAGAATTTAACTTGTCCATGGGGTCTTGATTATTCTAAAAGTTGGTGAATCTTCTATCAGAAGTGTGCCTTGATCAAAAAGAAGTAGAAATGATCTTTGAAGAAGTGGCTGTGGAGGTTCTAATCTTCAATCAGAGGTGTACTTCTAATGAAGTGAATTATGATTCATTCCACGAACTATTGGTCATGAATGCTCTATCATTTATCAAAAGTGTACCTTCAGCTGAAGTAGATCATGATTCCACCCTCAAACCATTAAGAAGTGTTACCCTCTATTAGAAGTGTACCTTAATTAAGTTGAAATAGATCATGGACGTTCTAATCTTCTATCAGAAGTCTACCTTGAGCTTAAATAGATCATGATTCTTTGTTCAGACCAGTGGTCATGGAGGTTCTAGTCTTCTATCAGAAGTTTAAACTCCAATAGAAGTAGGTCATGACTTCTTCCCCTATCAGAAGTCTACCTTGAGCTTAAATAGATCATGATTTCTTGTCCAGACCAGTGGTTATGAAGGTTCTATTAGAAGTTTACCTCTAATAGAAGTAGGTCATGACTTCTTCCCCAAAACATTGTCTGTGGAAGCTGTTATCTTCTATCAGAAGTCTACCTTGAGCTTAAATAGATCATGATTCCTCGCCAATGGTCATTGAGGCTCAGAAATGTACTTCAGACATTAGTCATGGATGCTCCATTTTCTATTAGAAGTGTACCTTCAGCAAAGTAGATCATGATTCTTTCCTCGAACCATTTGTCTGTTTGATCAGAATTTTATACCTTCAATATGTTAGATATTGGAACTGAAGTTGCTTCAGAAATGAGCATGCTGCAGAAGGGTCATTGGAGGCATGTAGATCACTCAAAAAAATCCATTATGGCGGACAGTGCATTTCATTTCATTTCAGTTTGTACAACTGTAATATTGGGACCAATGCATGAAATATGTAATACCATGATTAAAAAGATAATAAAATCTGTTAAACCAGGACTTTGTTGATATTGATATATAAGTGACAGTGATACTAATCATAGGATAAAGCCCTTGTATGATTTTTTTTGGCATACTGATAGGTGGACCTTGTAAAATCTGCATAATGATCTAATTATAAATATTCATACATAAATTAAAATGTCTGAAATCACTGTGTGCTCAGAGTTCGAACCCAGCCTTTGTTTGGGGGGGGGGGGGGTTTCTGAGTAGAGTGAAAAGTCTTTCATCTTGTCTATATGAAAGGATAGTTTACACAAACAGAGATTTGACTTTGGAAAATGAGTTAGATTCTGACATTTATTGAATATCCTATACCTGACATGTAGATGTGACTGGCACCTTCGCCGGCCAAACAGCATCAGACAATACTAACGCCCGACAAAGTAGTGTATGTTTCATCAGCAAGATCAGTACTGTGAATTGGTGAAGTTCACACCTTGCAATGAGTTCCAATGAATATTCATTTTCGTGGTCATGGTAACACCGTCAATCAAAGCCCTGTTTGCATTATCGGCAAAAATCACAGACTGTTTTCAAGAAGATGATAAACATTGGGTGGAAATAAACTCTGCCGTGAATGGTTACTTATTGATGGCTGTCCCTTTCTGACGTTCCTGCAATTTGATTGGTACTGACAAAAAACAGTTGGGGGAAGTGAAAACTACATCTATCTGTCAGGTGTGGGTTGAATTTCGAGCATCGCGAAGGGCGCAACTCGCGCAATCGTTTCAGGGTAAGTCTTACAAAGCAGCATTTTGAAGTACGAGGTGGGCTTCCATCTGCTTGCAGAAGGTATTAAATTACTACCTTCAATATTGCAAAGTGAGCAGGGATCCGAACTATTTTTTTTATTGAACCCTGCTTCACAAAATATGCCAGTGAATTAGTCATATAGGTATCACGCTACAATTAGAATTTGCATCAAGGTTGCAAAAGCGCACACACAAATAATTCCCACTCAAAACTTCCACAGGAAATGGCATCATATTATTTTTGTTGATTATGTCTTCAGAATAACAAAGCCTCAGATTTGTTTATGGAATTTTAGTGAAAATAAACTTGAAATGGTGATTAACACAGTAGTACTCGGCTGCAACATGTTCGCTACTACATTGTATTGCCAGGTCCCCATTGACAACATCAGTGTCAATGTGGATTTCCTGGCAAACTTGGATCTTGTAACCATGTTCAACTCCTGAAAAGCTGGTCAACAAGCCATGCATGGCACAGTCCCCGTCTCGCCAGACTTTTTTTATTCCTTGTTTCTTGAGTTTTTATAAAGCAATTTTTTTGAGGAGGGCGAGAAAAAAATAAAATTAATTCTCAAATTAAATTAAATTGATTCTCAAAGAATTGTAAGTGAGATCATTGATCGGAGAGAAGAAATGAAATAAAATAAAATTTTATTCTATATATAACCTTGTTTTCTCATCTGCGCAAGACTTTGGTACTTTGATCATGATACTCCCACGAAAATGCAACTTGGATTTGTTATGCAGCGGACGATAAAAAAATGAAGATAAAAATAATATTTTTTGTGCTTACAAGTCAACGGGCGCGATAAATTACGCTGAAATAAATTTTTCTTTTTTTTTCATTTTCGGCTTCTGTTCATTCGGAGGGTTCGCGAAACAAGGGATAATAAAAGTATGGCCTTAGTTATCGAATTTAAGATGTATAGTTTTGTTTATAGTAATATAGCTGAAATATAAACATGTCAGGAATATGATTATGATGATTGTTTAACATTTCAATTATTGCCATTTGTATCTGATCGTCAAATACCGTTGAATACATGTATATGAATTCTGGTATATACAGTTTGAACATAGTCAGTCAAAGCATGTCAGAGATATAGCTCTAGAAGCCTATTCATTAAATTCATTAAAAAAACAAAATGGCCACTAGTCAGCCATTCTGAATCTGATCTAAAAAATAAAATAATTCGCATCAGGAACCCGTAATGTCTAATGTATGTACCAATCCATTCATAAATGCCAGAAATGCTTGATATTTGATGATTTTTTAGCACAAAATTGGCCTTTTTTAATAGGATCGTCAAACCAATATATCTGTATATCTATGACATGATGTATAATGAATATTTAAAATTTGAACATAATCAGTCACAGCAAGCCAGTCGGCCATTTTGAATCTTATCTGAAAACAAAATGATGTGCATCAAGGTCCTATAATGTCCAACGTATACAAATGTACCAAGTTTGAACAAAATCCATCTGTAAACAGCTGAGAAATGCTTGATTTTGATGATTGTTAGAACAAATATGGCCGCCATTTGGCCATCTTGAATCAGATCGTGAAACAAATTGATGTGCATGTGTATAATATCATGTATGATGCATGTGTGAAGTTTGATTGTGATTGGTCCAGGAATTTCTAAAATACAGGTCTGGACGCACACGGACGGACAGACGGATGGACATAAGTCCCAGTTTTCGGACTGCGTCCGAACGGGGACAAATAAGCAGTATCATGTTATCGGCTCTGGGATTGTCCTAATTGTACGCAATCTCTAACAGTGAAATGGCCATGGTCAGAACCTGTGTTGGTAATTAATTGGTGCTGTGCATTAATGTGGAATTCATTGACCACCTCTCATAACTCTCTCCTTTCTGTACTCCTAAAGGCCTTGATTGATAGTAAGTAACCAGATGAGTGCGCCTATAAGCTGTTCAGTGTCCACTGCTTTTAAGAGCTCATTAGAAGTCAGGACTTCCACATCAGTCTATAGCAAACACAATGATTGAATCCAGACCTCATTCGAGTAGTCTAGAATTTGTGTGCATTAAAAGAATCTACAGTTTCCATACTGATATAAGGATATAACGATTCTGAATTATCCATCCAGTAGTCTGTCAAAGTCGTATATCATCATACCCAATTGTGCTATTATCTCTCACCTGATGATACTCAAAATTTGAGTCTTAAATTCTTGCACCACTCATGGTCCGTTTCTCATGTTGACATGCCTGACTAGCTTCAGTACATAGAGGCTGACTCTGGTTACAAAACACAAGCAGAACAAGTCATTGAAAATGACACAGTCCCCGTTAAATTTTTGAAAGTTCTCTTTGTGCTCGCCATATTAAAGCGGAGGGGTTGTCGCAAGCGTGTCCTTGAAACTTGAGTGCCAAGTGGCGTATACTACAGATTGTTTATTTACATCAAAACATGTGTTCGTGTAGTAGCAATATGGCCAAAAATAAAAACAGCCGTTATTTGGCCATCTTTGATCTGATTATGAAACACACTGATATGTATGATGTATGTGCCAAATTCGAATGAAAATGGTACGTACATAAATTGTGGAAAAATAGTAGTAAGGCCAAAAAGTCAGATGGCTGTCAATCAGCCATCCTTGACCAGATTTTGAAACAAATTGTCATGGACATGCATCCTAACATGTATGTGCCAAATTTGAATGAAAACTGACAGAGCACGTCGAAGATACCGCATAAAAAAAACAAAACAAGATGCCTGCCAGTCGACCATCTTTGATCCAATTGTGAAATAAATTGTCATGGA